AGGTAGTGGGAGGGGAAAAAAATTATATGTATATATACACAGATAGACAGAGGGCACAGGGTGAGTTGAAGATGGAGGGGTGATATCTGGAAAATAAAATTAAGGGTGAGAGACGATTATACTAGGAGAAAGGGAGAAGTAGAATGGAGTAATTATCTCACATGAAACAGAGAAGAAAAGGCTTTTACAATGGAAGGGAAATGGGGGAAGGTGAGAGGGAATGAGTGAATTATATTCTCATAGGATTTGACTTAAGGAGGCAATAACATACACAATGGTGTACAGAAATCTACCTACAGGAAAATAAGAGGGGAAGGGGACAAGAGAACATGGAGTTGATAGAGGAGAGGGCAGATTGGGGGAGGGGATAATCAAAAGCAAACACTTCTGAGGAGGGACAGGGTCAAAAGAGAGAATAGAATAAATGGGAGGTAGGATAGGATGAAGGGAAATATACTTAGTTTTCCACAACAGGACTACTATGGAAGTGTTTTGCATGACTACACATCTATAACCTATATCGAGATGCTTGCCTTTTCAATGAGGGTGAGTGGGGAGAGAGGAAGGGAGAAAATTTGTTTTAAAAACATATGTTAAAAATTTTAAAAAAATTTTAAAAATTGGGGAAATGGCTAAACAAGCTGTGGTACGTGAATGCAGTGAAATATCCCTGTGCTGTAAAGAATGACAAATGTCACGAATGCACAGAATCAAGGAAAGATAAACATGAACTTGGACAGAGTGAAATAAGCAGAGCCAAGATACAATATATACAATGATAACAACAATGTAAATGCAAAGTAAAATTACAATCACCAAAAATAAAAAATGTGAATGCTGCAAAAGTATAAAGAACAAGCATGACTCAAAAAAAGATATGAGAAATCATTTCCAGCCCACCCTTTCATTGAGGTTCACAAGTATTGCACATTGTAGTATTTTCAGATTTTTTTTGATGGATTGATCAATTACGCTGATTTTAGAAAAATTTTTAAGATGACTCTTAAGAAATACTATTTGTAGGGGGAACTAGGTGGCACAGTGGATAGAGCACCAGCCCTGAAGTCAGGAGGACCTGAGTTCAAATCCGGCCTCAGGCCAAACACTTGACACTTCTTAGCTGTGTGACCCTGGGCAAGTCACTTAACCCCAATTGCCTAAAAAAAAAAAAACTATTTGTTATATGACATGACTCTCTGGGAGATGGATGAATGCTAGGGGAAACTTTGGTGATGTCTGAAAAAAGGACATCAATAAAAACTGATTTTTAAAAAATTCAGTTGAATGTTGTTAAGTCCTGTCTGATTCTTTGGAACTCTATTTGGGGTTTTCTTGGCAAAGATACAGGAGTGGTTTGTCATTTCCTTTTCCAGCTCATTTTACAGATGAGGAAACTAAGACAAACAGGGTTAAGTGACTTACCCAGGGTCACCCAGCTAATAAGTTTCTGAGGCTGCATTTGAACTCAGGTCTTTCTGACTCCAGGCACAGCTTTCCACCCACTATGCCACCTTGCTGTCCAACTGAATAATGTCTTTTAACTATAGATATTCTTGAGATACTCACTCTGAAAAATAATCCATAAATTGCTGAGGATCTTCTGAAGCCAGAAGGAGTTGTCTTTGATGAGACTCTGACATGCAATGGCACTTAAAACCATTCTACAAAACAGAAAAGACGATGGTTAACTTTTTTTTAAATTTTCATAATTCATCATACTGGGTTCTAAATATCCAACCCACATTCCTACCTGATTCAGAATACAAAGTCTCTCTTTTCCAAGGTTAATGCCTATACATATTTAAATCTTGGCTTCATTTATTCCCTCTCCCTTTTCTATCACTATATTTCCATCTCCATTACTTAGAAAGATGGAGGGCAAAAAATATTTTCCCTAGACACTTCTACATGGTTGAGGTACTATTTCTTGTGTTCCCTTCTTCAGGGAGATGCTTTTTTATACATCTCTACTCCTTTACACCTAAAGGCAAGTCCAATTCTCTAGCTTCCTCTAAATGTGTTCTAGTTGAATAATTCCTGTTGTGACTCATGTTACTTTCCAGAAAAATGGTTATTTCTAAGCACCTGTGGCAAACTGATGTTATCCATGCCCATGACTTCAACAACTGTAAGCCACTGATCCCAAAATGTATAAGTCTAGCCTTACCTTTCAATACACATAAATCCTGCCTGCTGGGAAGCTATATTTGGTTATTCTGTTAATACCTCAAATTCAATGCATCAAAAATTGTCCCCAAACTTGCTTCTCTCCATAATTTCTCATTTTAATTAAAAATACTAAGCTACTGCTATGCATGGAATGTGTTGGGTGCTAGGGATAAAAAGATTAAAACAGAAAAAAGTCTCTGCTCTCAAGGAATTTACATTCTTCTGTACAGTTCAGTATGCACAGAAATACCAAGTAAGATGAAGAGGATATGAACAACTAGGTGGATCAGGGAAGGCTTGACTGAGCTAAAGATTCAGAGTAAGAGTTGAGAAGGTATAGGGCAATGAAGACCTCGGTCCTTTCTCTTATAAGAGAGGAAGGGGCATGTAATGTATGGCTCCCCACTGCAAACAGCATCACATAAGTGAAAGGAATCCAAGTGGACATCTTGTCTGACTCTAATTCAACAAACAAGGATCCTTTCTAGAACATATCCAACAAGTGATTATTGAACCTCTGTCTGAAAATCTTCAATGTACCTCCCAAGGCTGTCAGTCCCATTCTAGACACTTCTATGATATGGTCTCCAGTCCTCTCACCATCTGGGTAGCCATCCTCTGAATGCATTCCAGTTTATCAATGTCTGTCCTAAAATACTGGACCCAGAATCTAGTACAGTGTGAGATAGGGGAATGGAACAAGCATGTATCAAGAACCTCCTATGTATCAATAACTGTACTAAGTGGTTTACAAATATTATCTAATTTGACCTAATCCTGGGAAGTAGGTGCTGTATTTAAGCTTCATTTTACAGCTGAAGAAACTAAGACTCTAGACATGTCTATCATACATATATACACATTCACACACTCACACACCTTCACCATTAAAATGGTTATCGAGGGATGGGATTCTTTTTGCGTTGTGTCCCCAAAACATAGTGCCTAACACACAGCAAGTATTTAATAAATGCTTGACTGACTGACCAAGTCAGAGTAGAATGGGGCCTCCAATCAGCTTAAAATAATACTATTTTTTGTTTGACTTCCAGGTAATCCTGATGACTTACATTGAGCTTTCTTTCCACTAAAATCTTCAATTCTTGAAAAGAAGCATCATCTAGGCTCATCATCCCCATCCTACACTTGTGCAGCTTATTCTTGGTGAGGCCTTGCATTATAAGATTTAGAGTGGAAAGAGAGACCTCAGAATTCATCTATTCAACTCCTTCACTTTACAGATGAGAAAACTGAGAGTGAGTAAAGTTTTAAAAAACCTACTAAATATCACAGAGCTATACAGTAGACCAAGTATTCAAAACCTGCACCTCCCATCTCAATGGTCATTCCAGCACACCATGCTTCCTCTTGGGACTTGCCCTGAAATCTCAACTTCTTTTAAAATACTGAAAATGTCACAGGAACAATATTCCTCAGTTGAGGAAAATGAAAGGAGGAAAGGAAGAAAGAGAGAGAAAGAGAAAGAAAGCCAAAATGCTAAGAAAAAAAAGGCTCTAGACTACATTATTTCTAAAGGTCTTTTAGCTATAAAAATTGTTAAGCCTAAAAATTTCAGACTCTCTGGAGAGGAAAGTGTACTGTTTACATAGTATAGGCATATATAGAAGAGTTAGAAGATTATAGCACTTTTTTGCCCTAGACCTCTGGGGGAAAAAACAGTAGAAAATCTATTAGCCAATTAGTTGAAAAACCCAAGCTGAGATTTGAACCAAGGTCCTATGACTCCAAAGGCAATAATTTTCCCCCATAACATGGTAGTTTCTTATATGCACAGAATGTTGTTTGGTTTCTTGATTGAGGTAGAGCTATAAGAAAAGATTTAGTCTACAACCATGACTCTAGAAGCCAATGACGAAGCATGCTGACAGAGAGAGAGGATGGACTCAAATTGCAGAATAAGACATAAATTTTCTGTCACAGCCAACGTGAGAATTTGTTTGGCTTTACTATACATATGATAAAAAGTTTTGTTTTTCTTTCTTCTCAATTTAGTGAAGAGAGCTGGGGATAGGGTTGCCGTAAAGAAAAAGGAGGGACATTACAACAACGAACACCACAGACGAGCAGAACAGCTTTTACGTGTTGAATTTATTATATAATTAAAAAGAAAATAACGCTCTACATAGTAAAGATTCGCAGTTTCATGTACAACCCTCTCTGTGCTACTCTGTATATACAGCATAGCAGTGCTCAGGTAAGTACATGTTTGTGGAGTGCAGAATAAAAAAGAATGGGGGGGCGGAGAGAAGGTATAGTCTTTCCTCTGAAGCCGTCCCATCTCTCCACTCCAGGCATTGACTGAAGTGTTAAATGGCTCGCCAAAAGAGTCTCCCGCAAGCACCATTCATTCACCGGGACCCGCAGCGTCGGGGCTCGAACCAGGGTCCTTAAGGCCCCTCCAGGTGTGAGGATCGCGCAGTACATCAACCTAAAGGCAGCCCAGTCTGGGCTACACACTCACCTCATCCCGGCACTGCTTCTGGCACATCTGGCAATACCATCGCAGCTTCTGGAGCCCCTTGGATTTAATCCGGTTAGCGATGGCCTTTGGGGTGAGGAAGTCGGATTTCCCCATGGTAAGAAGCTAGGGAACCACGGAGAACGCTCCTCCGCTCTCTGCGCCCACCCCTATACAAACCGGAAGCAGTGCCAACCGGAAGCAGAGCAGGGGGCGGAGAGCGAAGGGTTGGGAGTGACAGAAGAGAAAAAAACAGGGAGGGAGAATTGGGAGAAAAGGAAAAAAAAAACTAATCGAAAGATCGCGAGAGTTTTTGGAGGGAAACCTAAGCAAAGGGGCGGGAGGAGCCGTCGGCGCATGCGCAGTGAGGTCCGTCTGCCCGACCTTCAGCCGGGCCGGTACCACCATGTTCTGTCGAGCTACTCTCGCAGGCTCCTCCGCCTTGGCTCTGCAGCCACAATGGTACGCGACCCCCGCGGAAAGCAGGACAGGGGTAGAGTGGTCGGAGGGATTGACGGAGTAGAACCGGACGCCGGGGCGGCAGAACTTTGAGGACGTGGCAGGGTGAGGGTGGAAGAGGGGCGTGGGGTCCGGGCTAGGCCTCTTTTTCTGAGGCGAGGAGGCCCCGGGGAAGCTCGGGCCTGCAGGATGGGCAGGAGGACGGGGAAGGTCACCCAAGGGGCCCGTGCCCCTGGTGGCGCACACCCGAAATCGGTTCAGCTGGACGGAGAGTCTACCCAGGTGGGTGGGGGAAGGGATGACCCTGAACCTCCGGCTTTAAGGACAGTGTGGGTGAGGCCGCCATGGCGTGATGCCTAAAGCCCCGAAGGGTCAAGAGTGCAGAAGGCACCCTGAGAGCGAAAGGAAGTTCAAGGGCTCGGGTAGCCCCATGACTTTGTGCTTTGCACATAGTAGGCGCTTTATGGTATGCTTATTGAATTAAAGATTAGGTATCCAAAAAGGAAGAAATGCTGTTTAAAGATTCTTGTGTAAGGAAGAGTCCAAAGAGGGAGACATACTGTGGTTTTTAAGGATTCTTGTGTAAGGGATAATGCTTGTTTTATGCTTATTGAACTAAGAATTAGATATCCAAAGGGGGAAAAATACTGCGATTTTTTTTAAGATTCTTATGTAAGACGAAGTCCAAAAGGGGAGAAAAACTGGTTTTTAAGGATTTTTATGTGAGAGAGAGTGCTTGAGATATATGTTCATTGAATTAAGATAGGTACACAAAGAGGGAGGAATATTGAGGTTTTTAAGGATTCTTGTGTAAGAGAGATTGGCCCTGTAGATTGGGTGCTGGAAAAGAAGTAGGATTTTGTAGGAAATTATGTAGAAGACTTCCTTAGGAAGGTCGCGAAGTACTAAGGCGATTGTGTCCTAGGATCTGGGAGCAGAATGGATGTGTGCCATTGTTTGCTGCCACACAGATTAGGGCCGTTAGGAGATTTAAGGGTATATATGTTCGTGATCTCGTGTAGTTCTTGGGCCAACTGTTTGGAGGCAGTAATAAAGATAGAGGTACTAGAAAGCTAGCATACTGGGAATTATGCAAAATTTGGAAGAATTTAGATATGTCTTGGAAAGGAAGAAATTGCAGACCTTTCCATAGAAAGCTTCAAGTTTTACAGTGCAAAAAAGTCTTGTTTTACATTGTTTCTTAGGGGAATAAGGAGTGTTGCACTATTGACTGTATGAAGCAGAAATTGGGGGAAGATATTAGTAATTTAACCTTCATTTAAGCTACTGATTTGTAATAAAAGGGGTACTTTGTCAGATCAGCTGGAGCAGTTAAATCCTTAAAGCTGTGTAAATTTGTAGATTTTGTTTGATTTATCTTGAGATGTGAGAAGTTTTCTCAACCTAGAAAATATTTTAATGAAATAGCATCAGTGTGAGTTTCAGAGGTTAGTATATAGGTCATTCTGTTTGGAGACCTAACAAAATGGTTCTTAAGAAAAACATTGTATTCATTGTTGTATTAATATCACCTGTTAAAATTTATGGGGGGGCAGAGCCAAGATAGCGGAGTGAAAGCAGTGACTTGCTTAAGCTCTCCCCCAAACCCCTCCAAATACTCATAAAAAATTTATAAGAAACTTTTATTTAAGAGGTTTCCGTGGTTAAACTGAAGTGAAAGATCAAAACATACTCACATGGAATCCTTGACCTAAACTTTAACTGTAGCCAAGAGAACATTCTGTTAAGTCTGATTTAAACTAGGACCCTTATTTGGAGACCCAACTACACCATAGAATTACAGACTTAGAACTAACTTAAAACTAACACCTTCATTTAACAGATAAGGAAACGGGCCCAGAGAAGTTAAATGATTTGCACAGACTCACAAAGGAAGTAAGTGGCAGAACTGACATTCAAACCTAAGTCCTGACTCCAAACCAAGAACTTTAAGACCATTCTGGTAATTATTTATCCTAGAACCTCCAAAGTCTGGAGGCCTAGGGGCAGCTAGGTGATGCAGTGGATAGAGCACGGGCCCTAAAGTCAGGAGGACCTGAGTTCAAATCCGGCCTCAGATCAAACACTTGACACTTACTAGCTGTGTGACCCTGGGCAAGTCACTTAACCCCAATTGCCTAAAAAAATTTTTTTTTAAAAGTCTGGAGGCCTGTCCTCAGTGGCCTTTTTAACACTGATGTGAGGTCTGCAGGTCATGAGCTCACTAAGCACCACTGTTACACAAAGCTCATCTTGTCATGGTCCACAGCATTTGTTTTCACCTATCTTTCCTAATTTGTTGTTCTTTCTTTTTAATAGTTAACCTGCTTTTTAGATTTAAAACTTGAAAAGTATGTGTGTGTCTGGATGCGCACTTTAGGTAAATTAACCATGTAGAAACAAAGGAGCACGTGCCTTACAGAAAAAGTGAAGAAGTGTTTTATAATTATAATTTATATATAATATATATATATATTTATAATTATAATTAATTAATTTCATTTTAAATTACCTTTTTGTCACTAGCTATTGTAGGCACTTTTAAAAGATTTTATCATTGCCTTTTTTCTTGAAAGACACAAACACAGACTTATTCTATTAAATGGTTTCTGTTCATTAAATAGCAACCATTTGCTATTTATAGCTATTAATGAGTGATAATGCCAAATTAAAACATAACTTTTAGTCTTGAGGGCATATTACATGTTACACATGTGATTATCATAACAGTCATATAAAGAAGGTAGTACAGGTATTATCCCAATTTGCAGATGTGTTAGGTCCCATTGCTACTTCTTCTACACCACATTTTAAGAACTTCATTTTGTCAACCCTTGATGTGTAATGCTGTACTATATTTTTAAAGAATTTTTAGAGAAGAGACAAATATCATTAATTTAGGGTGATTGAGTATCTTTGTGTTTGTGAAGTATGATGTTGTGTAACCCAGATAGTTCAGTAAGTGAATCAATGAATTGGTAACAAACATTATCAGAGAGCCGAGGCTTTCTGAAAAATGCCATCTTGTGCCTTTTCAAGTCTGCTCTCCAAGGTCTCACTCTTACTTTTCCATCTCTTTAGCCTCTTAATGCTTACAAACATCAAAAGGGTAAGCCCGAATCTGATTACAGTTCCGCAGATACTTTTTAAGCCCTTGCTGTATTACAAGGCATTGTATAGATATTGGTTTGCATGCTTAAGAGCATTTGCATCTCTGCTTTTCTTTTTGTGTACTCAGAGCTTTAGATATGGTAAGCATTTAATAAATCTTTTTTTCATTCATTCACATGAAAACACAAAGCAGTTCTTGCCTTCAGGGAGCTTTTAGGCCTGGGTGATAAGTAAGAGACAAGACTTAGTTGTTAAGGGAATCACTATAGCAAGTGATGGTGATGTTGAAAAGTGGGAATCAAAACATCTGAAAATATATTTTGGTAATTTGCATAAACTTGTTTTTCATAATTTGTGAAACATATATATGGGAGGAGGGGGAGAAGGAGGAGCCTAAATTGACGTGAAAGGAGGCCATTCTGTCACAAATGGGACATGAAATGTTGGATATAGGGGTAGATCTGGAAAAGTAAGTTGGGGCCAATTTTAAGTGCTAAGTATTTAATTTCAGGGGTAAAAAAGAGTCACTCAAGCAAGACAGTTACATGTTCTAAGGAGGTTTTTTTTTTTGACAATTGTTTTGGGGAAAGAGTGAATTGGGAAGAAGAGAGAGTAGGCACTGGGAGACCAATAAGGAGGCTCTTGAGAGCCCTTTTGATGAAAGCCTGTTTTAAGGGGTGGCTGTGGGTAGGGAGAAAGGGAAAGATGCAGGAGACAAAACTTGACAGTTTATTGTATTTGGGCAGTGAGGAACTGTGATAAGTGGAAGGTAATTCCACATTTGAGAATCTGAGTGATAGTAAGGGCAAAGCACTAAGTAACCGGACAAAAATAGGGCAATCTGGAAAATGGGTATGATAAGAGATGATGTGGTTTGCTGAATTTGAGATACTGCAATTTCAGTCAAGTGATAAGAGTTAGAAATTATGGGAGGAGAATGAGGATTAGTAATATGGAAGGGAAGACAATGAGTTTAAAAGACTTTCTAGGTCTTATTGCTCTAGGTCCTTGGGTATTGCCATTTGACTGAGTCCTAAGTTTTACAGAACAAATCCTTGTTTTGTTTTGTGAAGCTTGGATTTAGTCAAAGGGCTGCACTTGAGGACCTAGAGGGCTACTTGTGGCCTTGAGGCCACAGGTTCCCCACCCCTGTCTAGGATTTCAGCTACAAAGGAGAGGCACAAGACATCATGGTAAAGTGTAAATCTTTTTAAACCTGCCAGTGACCTGAGTGTGTTTGTAAGTTGAGGAATGGGTAATCAATAGATAAATATATTGAGATTAAAGAAGGAATGATCATAAGGTAGGGAAGTCCTCAACATTCCTGCTAACCAGCTATGACTCATGAATTTTTTCTTCCTGCCTTCTTCCCCTACTACCATCATATTCCTATTCAAATACTTCTTCAAGACAATTTTGTAAGAATGATAGCACTAGCCGTACCAGATATCAAACTGTATTATAAAGTGGTGTTTATCAATACAGTTTTATACCGGCTAAGAAATAGAGTGGTGGATCAATGGAATAGATTAGGTATTAATTACCTTATAATAAATGACCATACAGTAATCTAGTATATGATAAACCCAAAGATCCAAGCTTTTGGAACAAAAACTTATTATTTCACAAAAACTGTTGGGAAAATTGGAAAACAGTACGGCAGAAACTATGTATAGACCATTATCTCACGCTGTAATACCAAGATAAAGTCAAAAGGGGTATATGATTTACATATAAAGAGTGATACCATAGGCAAATTAAGAGAGCATAGAATAGTTTATCTGTCAGATTTATGGATAAGAGAAGTAAAAATTTAGGACCAAAGAAGCTATACAGAGCATTACAAATGTAAAATAGATAATTTTGATTATATAAAGTTGTTGTTTTTTGTACAAACAAAACCAATGCAACCAAAATTATGAGGAAAGCAGAAAACGGGAAAATTTTTGCAACAAGTATTTCTGATAAAGGCCTCATTTCTCAACTATATATAGAGAACTGAGTCAGATTTATAAAAATGCAAGTCATTCCCCCAATTTGGTAATTAATCAAAGCTATCTATAGTCATATGAAAAAATGCTCTAAATTACTATTGATCAGAGATATGTTAATTAAAACAACTCTGAGATACCTACCTCACACCCATCATAGTGGCTAATAGGATGACAAAGGAAAATATTGGATATTGCAGGGGATGTAGGAAAGGAAAACTGGGACACTAATGTACTATTGGTGGAGTTGTGAACTGATCCAACCATTCTGGAGAGCAATTTGGAACTGTGCCCAAATGGCTATAAAACTACCCATATCCAGCAGTACCACTGCTAGGTCTGTATCCCAAAGACATCTGAAAAGGAGGAAGGGGGGAGGATCTATTTGTACAAAAGTATTTGTTGCCATTCTTTTTTTGATGGCTAAACAAGCTGTGGTATATTATTGTAATGGAATATTATTGTGCTGTAATAAATGACCAACAGGGTGATTTCAGAAAAACCTGGAAAGACTTACATGAACTGATGCATAGTGAAGTAAACAGAACCGGGAGGACGTTGTACACAGTAACAGCAATTGTGTGATGAAGAATTGTGAATGACTTAGCTATTCTCAGCAATACAGTGATCTAAGATAATCCCAAAGGACTAATGATGAAGCATACTATCTGCCTCCAGAGAAAGGACTGATACTGGTTGAATACAGACTGAAGCTTGCTATTTTTCACTTTCTTTTTTTTTTCTTTTATTCGAATCTTGGTTACAAAATGACTAATATGGAAATGTTTTACATAATTGCACATGTATAACCTATATCTGATTGCTTACCATCTCAGGGAGGGGGAAAGGGAGGAAAGGATAGAATTTGGAACTCAAAACTTGAAATAAAAATGTTTTTTAAAATTAAAAAAAAGTGATAGCAAAGCAAAATTCTGACAATGCCTGCCTACATCAGGAGTTTTGAGTACTGAACTGTCTTCAAGAAATAGTCTTCCAAAAATTGAAGGATTGGCCATCAGATTTTTTTTTTTTAGCCACACTCAGTGAGGAAGGCCTCCTACAAAGGCTCTTGGGATGTGGTCTGCCTTAATTAAGATAGTGTATACCCCATACGAATGATATTATAAGTATTGAGGACTCTGAAATTTTGGTGTAGTTGTTAAATACACCAAAATCAGGGGTAGGCAGTCTCTTGTATTAAATGTCACTAAGTCCTTTATATAAGTCACCCCTCTACTATGCTTGGCTCTAATCTTTCATTTAATACGTTAGACTTGTGAGTAGCCATCTGTAAACATACCAACTGATGGTGCTTAGAATTAGTGGAGGCTCTCGTTTGATTAAGCCTAATGCTTGATGATTAAATTTCTGAAATTTTTTTTTAAGTTTCATATTTAATTGTAACTTATGTGGAGAGAGCATATCCTAGATAAATTTTTTTACCTTCCCATAACCCAAAACTTTGCATATCCTCAAGTTAAAAATAGTACATTGTAGGGGCAGCTAGGTGGTGCGGTGGATAGAGTACTGGCCCTGAAGTCAGGAGGACCTGAGTTCAAATCCAGCCTCAAACCGAACACTTGGCACTTACTATCTATGTGGCCTTGGGCAAGTCACTTAACCCCAATTACAAAAAAAAAAAAGAACAGAATAAAAATAGTACATTGTTAAACAGCTGTCTTAACTGATAAAAGTAACTAGAATGTGTGTTTATTTTGCCATTTAAGTGTCTGTTTAATGATTATGAGCGTCCTTCTAAAATTCTATTGGAAAATATTCTCCCAAAGTTCGTAATTAACTTATTCAATTAAAGATGACTTGTCTTTTTTTCTTTTTAAAGAATTTTGTTTTTGTTGTGAATGGAATCATCAACATTATATTGTTGAATATTATGTTATTGTATTATAATAATTATTATATTACACTATTATATTATATTAATGTATTACATTATATTATTGAATGTTATATAAGAAACTGAGCTATTATGTACAGCTTTTTAAAATGCATATAGATGGATATATTTAAATGTAATAAGGTAGCAACAAAATTTCTTTGTATCGCACCCTTTTCTGTCATATTTTTTTAAAAAGTTTTTTGGTGCTTTTTAATTTTTTATGTATCTTTCACTACCCACAAACCCAGCTTTCTTTTTAACAAATAGATGTGGTTGAGCAAAACAAATTAACACTTTGGATGTATGTGAGAAGGCATGTCTCATTCTTTTTTTGTTTGTTTTGGTGACGCAGTTGGGGTTAAGTGACTTGCCCAGGGTCACACATCTAGTAAGTGTTATGTGTCTGAGGTCTGATTTGAACTCAGGTCCTCCTGATTCCAGGACCAGTTCTATATCCACTGTGCCATCTCACTGGCTTCTTGCATGTCTCATTCTGTACCTCTGGTCTATTACCTTTCTTTCAAGAGATGAGAAGTATATTTCATTATCGAAGTTCTGAAGTCTTAAAAAATTGTTTTCCTCCTCAAATTATTAGGATCGTTGTATAAATTATTTTCTGATTTTTCTTACTTCATTCTGTATCAGGTCATGGAAATCTTCCCACGTATCAAAATCTGTTAAATTAGACATTTAATCAGTGCTTATTGGTATTTGTCATTTCTTATAGCACAGTAATATCACATTACATGTATGTACTACAGTTCAGCCATTCCACTGTTGATAGGCACTTGAGTTTCCAATTCTTTACTACAACAAAAAGTACTCCTCTAAATATCCTTTATTTATGTTGTCTTTCCCTCTGTCTTTGACCTTATTAGGGAAGGTGCCAAATTGGATTTCTTTGTACCGTTTAGTGATATTTTAAATCCAGTTCCAAAGTGCTTTCCAGAGCAATTGAACCAGTTCACAGCTTTATCAACAATGTTAATGTGTGTCTATTCTCCAGCAACCCTTCCAACAATGTTATTTTCCTCTTTCATCACCTTTTGGCAATTCCATGAGTGTGAAACAGAACTTCAGGGATGTATTAATCTGCATTTCTCTTATAATTATGTGATGTAGAACATTTTTTCACGGAGTTGTGAGATTAAAATTACTCCTTTATCTTTTTCTTGTTCATATTTACAATTAATTGATTTTATCCTCTAACTGCTTAAGTCGTGGTTCCTTTGTCTCTGTCTCTGAACTTAGTTCAGAGTTCAGCTGGCCTGTAATGGGTAAAGTTTAAAAATTCACCTCTTCTTGCCTCGATTTTGGGGAATGTGTGTAAAAGACAGGGAGTCAAACCTGACAGCTTCACTCCACCAAGCCTATCCTTCAAAGATGTATGCTTTGCTGTCTAAAAATCTGGGCTATTATCTCTCACTTGGACTCAAACAGTGAGTAGTCTTAGTCTCATGAGAAAAGAGTTGTTGCTAGTCCCCATTACTAAACTTCCAACCAATTTTGTTACTCCCTGTGCCTCAACTTTGTGATCAGTCTTGTCCTTAATCCCATGGTGTCATCACCCTCTTCTGTTTTTTGTGTTTTGTACTCCCCAAAACCTATATAAGGGAAATTGTCTTCCTGCTTGGGGTCTTTGGAATAAGTGGAGGCAAGCCATTGACCCATTTATTGACAAGGTAACATGCCTCTGCTAATAAATGTTATCTTACTCAGATCTACCTCAGTTTATCCTTTTATTAAATTCCCGTTGCCACAGTTGATAGTCTTTTCTACATTTAAGACCTGCCTAGTCTTTTCTACATTTAAGACCTGCCTTTTATGTCCTATCCTGGATGTCACTTTTTTAAGTATCTACATCCTTTAGCCTTAGTGAATTGCCTTTCAGTCTTTTTTGTGTAACTACAAAATTAAAATAGTTTGAAAGTAAATCACTGCTTTAAAAATTGTGGTTGTAAAAGTAAAATTAAATTGAATCTTCGTCATCGGTAGTCTAAATTGTGATTTAAGTTAGCAGTTAAGATGATTGGCTTAGTGGTTTATTCTATGACTAAAACAGCATTTTTGGACTATTGAAGAAAGTGTGTCATTTGCATGTTGAAGTAATTTTATTTAGGGATACATATATGCATACATACATACATACATACACCAACAAGTACTGCCATGTGACCAGCACTGTACTAAATATTCTTTGGATTAAAAACGACAAGAGTTTTTTTCCCTTGAGAAGATTATAATCTAGTTGAGATTAAATATTCTGTCAGTTTTTGAGTGTGTGTGTATATGTGTGATTTTTGTCACAACTGGGAAAATAACCATTATATTAGAGACTATAACTGTTAATGAAATAAAATTTGTTGAAGGGCAGAAATAGTTGTTATAAAGCTGAGATTTTGTAAAGGTAGTGGTATTTGACCAAAGCCTTAAAGGAAGTGTACTTGTGAAAATTGAGAGACCATCCTTTGAAAGAGGGTAAAAGCATGACAAAGGTTCTGAGATGGGATTAATGTGAGAAATGTGAAAGCCAGTCTTGCCAGCCAGTGTTGTCATCTTGTGGAGTAGTGAGACAGGTAGAATAGGCCTATTTAATGGTGAAACTTAAATGATATCAGATATATCAGGGGTTAAAGTATATTTTCAATAGTGTATTGAGAGAGTGCTCCACTGTGTTCAGTAGATACCCTGTAGGGGGCTTAAGGGAAAAGATATGCAGAGGATTCACAAAGGATGAGAAATCGTGGAGGGGTTAATACACATAAATCAGTGAAACCAAAATACACTTCAAGAATTATGATTCTGCTGTTCATAGAAATGGCAGTGGGTCGGGGAGGGGTATAATTTGGAGCCTGTTCAAATGGAGGTGAAATATTGTTTAAAGTTTTCTCTTTATTTTCAGGATCCAAGTCAGAAATATGGCAACCCTAAAAGATAGTAAGTATTTTGTTTTAGTAGTAGTCATAGTAAAATTAGATAGTAAGTATTTTGTGTTTTAAGGAGAAATATTGGTTTCCACAAAATTATTTTAATCATTCCTTTCTGTCCTTGGGCAAGTCACTTTGCCTCCTGTGGTTTCCATTTACTCGTCTATAAGGGGCTAGGCTAGATTGCCTCTGAGGTCCCTTCCAACTCGAGTTCTATAATTCATTCCTTTTAAACTTAAGTAGTCTAACCCATGATATTTCCAAACTAATTTAATAAAATAAGGTGGCTACATAGTAGGTAGCATGTTCAGTAAAAAGGACAATGGAATGATATTTAGGAGATTTTGTTTCTAGTCCCAGCTGTGCCACTTTTGGCAAGGCACTTAAACTTTATGTGTCTCCTTTTCCCTAATTTTTAAATAAGGTGTTGGACTAAATTGTGGTGTGATCCTTTCTGGGCCCCAAACCTGTTGTTTCTTGTGACTTAACTGAGGGTAAGAAAATGCGTGGGGTTTCCAGTGTACTTCTATACAACTAATTATGTACTGGAGAATTTTAATTGTTCTAACTTCTGGATATCTTCAGTTACCAGGAGATTGAAGTCAATCAAAAACATTCAGAAAATTACCAAGTCCATGAAAATGGTAGCTGCTGCAAAGTATGCCCGAGCTGAGAGAGAACTAAAACCGGCTAGAGTGTATGGAGTTGGATCTTTGGGTAAGAGATGAGCACAATTAACACTTAAGACAGAAAAGACTACTTTAAAGAGAAATAGCTGCATTAATCTATCAAAAAACATTCTTTAGGAATACTGCAGAAAAGCACTGACCTTGGAGTCACACATTTAAGTTCTATCTCTTCTACATACTGCCTTAGGACCTAGATAGTCTTCTTTGGAAAGTCTCTTAACCTCTGGACATCACTTTCTTCACCTGTCAAAGTAGGAGGTTGAACCAAATGACTTCCAAACTAAAGATCTGTGAAATTTTGTAAAATTTTTTTTTTACTGAATTTTCCTGTAGCATTCTTTTCTTTAAAGGAAAACTAGATAAACAGAGGTTGTGGGATAATACTGCATAACAAGCTATAGTCATGTTAAGAAATACAAAAAAAAAAAACCAGAAAAGGGAGGCATGGTAAAGATCAACAAAGAGAAACAGAAGTGATACTATTATAGGAATAGACTGCTGACCACAAGACAGAGGAAGTAGATGAGTTTGTGAAATATTACAAATCTGTCTTCAGTACCTCTCAGCTGGTAGCTGCTACTACTATTCACCCAGTATTCCTCTGACCATTATTGCATGATCTCTGTCTTACTGCCACCTCTTGCTTCACAAAATCATTATTTAGATTGTAGGCACCAGCCCCTTCCTTAGAGAATCCATTTTGTCCCTTTAGAGAAAAGCTTCATTCTTTTATTTGGCTGCAAGTGTTTGTTGGTCCTTTTCTTCTCTTCCTTCACTAGGTCATATTCTTGTGTCCTTTAACATTGTAAAAAGGTTAGGATCTGCAACCTTATATCCTTTTTTTTCCCTTTTTTTCAACTGTAAAACATTCATATTTTTTAAAAGAATATTTCATCCTCCTTGATAATCTAAGTAGAGGAGAGAGTTACCCTTGAGGAGAGAAAATAGCCTAAATTTTATGTGGAGCAGTTACTTGACCATAAAAGTCAAACATCATGAGCTCTATTGGGTCACTGCGAAATTTCCTATCTTTCATTCTCAGTGAAACCAGATTCTCAGTCTCCTTGGTAGTTCCTGGGGCTACCTCTTGGAAGAAACCTCTGGCTTACTTTGACTAGTATGTTCATAGACATTCCTAAGCTGTTTTATGTACTTATAAAGAAATAATACAAAATTTTCTCAGGAAGTGAGGCTAGCCTGCCCGACTACTTTGATTGGTAATTAGCGGCAGCTTCCTGTCAGAAGCCTAACACTATCAGCCTGTGTTACTTTTCCTCTTTTCATTTTAAGGTTCATTTTTCTTTTATATTTATACCAACAGATCCATGATCTAATTGATAATGATCCTTCAGACTGTATAGATTACAATCCATCCATGCCTTCATATTCTGTGCCATTCTTTTCTATGTCTTCCAAAAATCCTCCAACAAAGATCTGCTCAATATAATCAAGGACTTTAGCTCTGTTTATTTTAAGGCTATTTATGCAACTCTCTGTTATCTTGTTTTTCGTGCAAAAATAGCTGCTTTTCCAATCAAATGTTTACTGGAAGATGTCTCTCAAGCCACTTCTTGCAAGTGTGTTCTCGTCCTTGGTAAATGCTGCAACTTTCTTATTATGCCCAACATTCCCTGTAGGTCCCAAGTGGTTTTGATTCCAAAGATTGTAGTGTTCATAACCAGACAACAGCACTTGGAGAATATTGGTTTTTGAAAAGACTGATGTTTTGCTCTGAGTATTTACCCCAAATACACCTTTTGATGTACTAATGGGTAATGTACTGCCCATTCACTTGCATATCACATAGTCTACACAATAAACACTTCATACATTTGGCCTTTCCTTTGTGAAATGTCTTTTTTTTTTTTTTTAAAGAAAATACATTTTTTGATTCCTTTGTCTTTATCACAGTTACTTTGCCAACATACTCCAGATTGAACCCTCACTTCCTTGTAACAAAAAAAATTTAAGCAGAAATACCAAATATAGTGACCACATCTAACAGTGTGTGCAATAATCTGGCCTAGTAATTCCCTTCCTTTCTCCTATAAGGAGGAATAATCTATGTTCCAGGACCCTCATTGATTTTTCAGCTACTCCCATTTCAACTTTAATAACCTTGTCATTTGCATTGTTGCAGTAACTGTGTATATTGTTCTCTTGCTTCAGTTTATTTCATTCCAAGTCACTTCATACACATCTTCCCGTGTTTCTCTTAGTTCTTCATATCCTGCATTTCTTACTGCATGATAATATTGTTATATTTACATACCTCCGTTATTTCACTTCTCCCATTTCTTTGTTACTACAAAAAGTATTGCTACGAATGGTATACCTCTATTTCTCTGATTTCTCTGAGATTTATGTACTATATAGGATCACTGAGTCAAAGGGTGTGGATAGTAATTTTACTTAGATAATTCCAAATTGATAGCTCAAACAGTTGGACCACTTCTCAATTCAACCAGTAGTTTTTTAGGTAGAATGTATTTCCAGAGCCCCTCCAACATTGGCTGTTCCCATTTATTTTTATCTTTGCCAGTTTGCATGATATGAGGTGAAATAACACTTGTTTTTGTATTTTTCTTATTATTTATGTTTTAGTGCATATTTTCACATGATCATGTATAGTTTGCATTTTGGAAGGAAATGTTCATATTTTTTGTCTACTTATTAAGGAATGGCTTTGGTGTTACATATTCATATCAGTTCCTTCCATCTTCTGTCACTTACTGAGATGGGGCTTCCCTGAATGACAGTATGGAGGCCATTCTTTTCTCTATTGCTGGTTGCACTTTCTCTCATATCTCCCAACTCACTGATCAAAGTGGAAGAGTTGAAATACTTCTTGTTTCCTATTGCCATTTCCAGACTTGTCCTCTACTGACATCAAACTCAATACAAATCTTGGTGGTTGTTATCTTTCTACCAACTGCTGTGGTATTTTCCCTCCATTTTTAGTGAATTCATGTCTTGCTCAGGTTTTCTTCTCCACCCTAGCTAATTAGTCCATTCTCTCCTATTTGATGGATGAGGAAACAGTAAAGTACAACGATTAAGTAACTTAACCATGGTTAAGGTACTAGTTTGTAGCAGAGCCTGACCCTAGAACCTGGATATTCCAAATGCCAGACTGGTACTTTTTCTGCTGTTTCCTTGCTGTCAACGTCCTACTGAAAAATTTAGCATTTGATTATATATTACTTGTAAAATTGTTTCCTTGTTTCTTTTTTAAGTTCCTTGAAGGCACAAACCATGCCTGATACTTCTTCTCTTAAGCCCAAAACAATGATGTCAAACTTAAATAGAAACTGATTAGGAAACCACTAATTAACAATGTCTGTGTTGTGTGTTTGGAAAATGTTTAACAAAATAAACAATTACAGTTTGATCTGGTTCAAACCAGCTGGGGAGTTTGGTAGGGTAGCTTGGGGGTTTTGATTTTGACACTTCTCCAGAATGTTTATCATTGTGTTAAACATCTAATATTTAGTCCTTGTTGGTGGTCTGTGAAGTTTAGCTGTAGTAAGATAGAAATTTTGAATTTATTCAGGAATATTATGCTATCTCACAGTTATTTTCCATAATGATGATGATGATTTTTAAAATATTAATTACTGAATTTCAGTGTGAATTAAAACTGGGAGCCTCTAGGGAAGGCGCAATGCAGGAGGAGGAGGATCACGTTTTAGACAGGAAAAAAATATATATTTTTTAAACTCTCACTAGCCCAGTTTATGGTGAAAGGAAAACCCAACTTACGGCTACTACAATTAAAAGGATACATTTTAATTGTAATGATGTGCAACAACTTTTTCTCTCCTTCCTCTCAAGTGTCTCTCAAGTGTCATTAGCAAAGCACCTCTCTTTGATAAATTGGAGAGCAGCTTTGGGAGGGCAACCAGTAAGATAAAGGGCCTTACGTACATGCCATATGAAATCAGGTGAAGGAACTGGGGATACACTGCAAGTAAGAGTTCTGTGACCTATTAAGTACTTTAGTATAGATGATCCTGACCCTTGATGGGGACCAGTTACAGGGGTATGCTGTTGTCCTGGTTTTGCATTTATTCATCGTTGCTATTTTATGTCACCAGACATCCTGTAAACAGCCTGTGATCATACTACTACCCCTGCTTGAACTGTATACATTTTTTAGAGGATTTTTATGCCACTGAATTTTGAAACTTTACCATTTGTATGTCTCCTCCATTGTTGCTTATCTTAGGCTCTTTCTTACAGAATTTTAATCCATGGACTTTTATCCTTCCTTGGATTCTTCAGAAATTTGCTTTTCTAATCTCAAGAGTTCATGTTAGACTCTTCCCCACTTTTCTCTCTTCCATCACAAGTGCTAATAGGAAATAGTAATTCTGTTCAAGGTTTCTATCATTTCTGTTCCTGCAACCAGTTTCCCTGTTGGCAGGAATCAGATCCAGAATTGAATTTCACCTTGTTTGTTCTTTCACCTTTTAAAAATATTTTAATTAAAGCAAGTTACAAAGTTAGCTTCTTTTGTCAGAGAAAGCTCTGGCAGATATCTGAATAATTGAGGTTTCCCATCATACTGTATCATGCCTGTGTGTGGGCTTGTGATTGTACTTCTCACCTATTCTTTCTGTGCATGTGGTCTATAGAATAGAGGATGAGGACTAGACCTTTGATTTCATTTGTATGGGGAAGCCTAGAGCAAAGAAATGCCTTCTACTAATTCAAATTGGCAACATCTCTGAAATTTAAGAGTCCTTGAGAGTTGCCTAAAACCCTGAGAGATTAAATGACAACCAGTGACAAAGTGAAATGTTGTCAGAGGCAGAACATAAGCATACATGTTCCATACATAGTGTGTAGTATATATACTCTTATAAAATCACTTCTGTTTTCCCCCTTCATCCAAATTCTCTCCATATTTCTCTCCTCTAGATTCTGTTTTTTTTCCACATGAGCATATCTTCTTAATAGGTGATATTAACTCTACCTTCCTCTTTGACCTATCTTTATTTTTTGGAGGAGGGGGGGGTTACCCATCCAGAGTCATAGATTTCCCATCATAAATTTTGGACAACCAAGTCTCCCAGTGGAATCAAATTTGCATCCTTGTGTTAGAACCTTTATTTTATCTTGCTTATTTCCTAAACTTTGTACTGTCTTATTACTTGGATTTTTTTTCCTCTTGCAAACTATTTACTATGGTGTGCAGTTTAGTGAAGATACATAGACAGTTTTATCCTTTCTTCCATCTTTTTACAATTTAATACTTTCTATTAGATTTGTAAGACAATAGGCATAAGCTTTTTTTTTCTTTTGCAAAGGGTTATTTACTTCAAAGATGACACTTTGTGGTACAAGCTCCCCTATACCACATCTCTGGGAAGAGTGGACTGACGCTTAGCATGCTTTCTACATGGCATTAGATCCACAAATTTCATGTCCAAAGCAGCATGTCCTCCTTGTCACCATTTAGTTTCAATTAATTGGGCCCAAAGCACATTTCAGAATACGGAAAGCGGGAACTTGGGTCTGGTTGTGCTAAATATGGCTGTCATTGCAGGTCTAGTGAGAATGAACTGCAGGGTTGCACATTTCCATCTGCTTTTGTGGTCCTGTGTATAGGCAAATACATTCTTACCAAATTTTGTTAGCTGTGTTCTCTCCCTGGCCAAGAGCCTGTTATTCAGTACTACATCTTCTTAATCAGTTATTTACACAGTTCCCAACTCTTCTTTGTCCTTCTACACTTTTGCCATCAGTGAGCAGCAATGATGAAGACAACAACTATGCTTCCCTTGTCTTCAATTTCTTGCCTTGTGCTTTGTGATTCTTAGTATATGTTCTCTTAGGTTCTAGTATCATTTGTTCCTCTGTGAATTATTGGAAATGGGTAGTAGTCATCTATTTTGACAGATGGTGGGATGTTATTCTCTGTTATATCTTAGATACATGCCTTTGGAAGACAATAGACCCCTCTGTTGTTAATCAGATTGACAAATGAAACTGTTTAAATTTCCTTATTTACTAGACTGTAGTTCTGTTGAGTACTCTTTGAGAGTAGAAGACCTTTGGATGAGGGCTTAGAATTATAATGTAAAGATTTTGTTACAGAATATGACTCATTGTAAGAGGGATTGAAATACAGACTTTTTTTTAAAAAATTGTTATTGAGATCTTGAATTTTGATGGGTATTTTGAAAACCAGCCAATTCTTCCTTTGTTAAACTACTAGTATTCAGGATTAAATCTATTTCTTTTCTTTTTTTAAGCTCTTTATGAAAAAGCTGATATTAAGGCTGCAGAAGACCTGAAGAAACACCTCATTATTGGTGTATCCTCAGATAGAGGCCTTTGTGGTGCTATCCATTCCTCAATTGCTAAACAGATGAAAAATGAGGTTGCTACCCTCACAGCAGCTGGGAAGGAAGTTATGATTGTTGGAGTTGGTGACAAAATCAGAGGCATACTTCATAGGTAAGTCTTTATTGCAGACTTTGGTCAAAAAATTTTTTTAAATTCTTTGAAATAACAGTAAGAAAGGAGGGCGCTGGACTTGGAGTAAGAAGACCTAAGTTCAAGTCATGATTGTTGCCTGGTAGGTATTTGATGACTGGCAAGTCACCCATTCTCTGTGACGCTCAGTTCTTCATACATTATGAGGTCTGATCCTTATCCTACCCAATTCAAAGAACTCTTATAAAGAAAGTGCTTTAAAACTGGCAGTTATTTTAGGTGGGGTTTTATGTTCATTGTTTTCCATAATGTGACTCTTAAATACTTTTTTTTAACCTCACTTTCTGCTTCTTTCCTTCTTCCCCATCACCATTCATTAAATAATACAGAGCCTGTCAGAAGCTATTAGCATTAGTTCATAGACATTCCGTTCTGAAGCTGTCTTAACATGAGTATTTAAGACTCTGGTGAGAGTTAAAATGATATCTTTCTGAAAGATAGGTTCCATTAGTGAGTTACAAAGGTGATCTCTAAGGTCCCTGCCAACTCTAAAGCCTGTGATTCTGTGAAACAGAAAACTAAGGAATGGGAGAAATGAAATGAAAAAAACGAAGTATAATACTAGCCCAAAGGTTCTTAACCTGGGATCTGTGAGGTTTTTTTTTAATTAATATTTCAGTAAATCATATTTTAATGTAATTTTTTGCCTTTATAATCCTAAATATATTGTTTTATGCATTTTTTTAAATGTTACTCTGAGAATGGTTCCACTGGCCTTACCAGAATGCCAAAGCCATTCGTTACACAAAAAAGATTAAGAACCATCACTTTACTGCTACCATATTAGCCATTTACAGTTGCCAAGAAGAATAGGAGGAATAATGTTCAGAAAAGCTGCTGAAGTTCAGGAAAACCCACAGAGAGCTTCATGGGATATTTTCCACATTGTCTCTTTTGATATGTATTATTTCACTAAACTAATTACAGTCACTTTAATGAGACATGATTTTGTTTTAGAACTCACTCTGACCACTTCTTGGTGACATTTAAAGACGTCGGGAGGAAGCCCCCTACCTTTGGAGATGCTTCAGTTATTGCCCTTGAATTACTAAATTCTGGATATGAATTTGATGAAGGATCTATTATCTTTAATAGATTCAGGTAAGTTAACTATTCTTTAAATGAAAGACTTTTAAAATGTATTAATATGGACAGAATTGTTTCATTTAACCTAAGTCTATCACTAATCACAAATATGTGGAGACATGTTTTAAACAAATTATTTTGAAAATTATGTTCATTTTCATCTTCTTTAGGTCTGTTATCTCTTATAAAACAGAAGAAAAACCCATCTTTTCCCTAAATACCGTTGCAAGTGCTGGTAAGTACTAAAATTTTAAAGCCCATTTAAGAGCATGTTTTCAGAGACAAAATATTTTGTCATTCAGCAAGCATTCGTTTAATCATTTCACTACATGCCTAGCATTAGGGGAGACAGATAAATAAGATATGGTCCTTGCCCTACAGGTCTTAGGTAGATTTGTGTTAAATATTAGGAATCAGATATTGAAAGAAGTCTCTTTTCTCATGGCAGAGGTAAAGGACTAGCTAAATCATTTTTCTCTGTAAGAAAGGAGGGTTTAATCTATCTGCCTAGGGATGGCAAGGGGAGAAAAAGATCCTAAAATAGAATGCACACTGAAAGCTTGTCTTCAGTGCTAACAACAAGGCCCTATGTAGGAATTTCTTAACGTTGGGAGAAACGCATTTGTCTCAGTAAAATCTCAGGTCATCTTGATTGATTCCTAATTGCTGTGACCACCCATATTTATAACATTAAGTTTTGTTTTACTTATTTAACTATTCAGATGGATATGTGATTTCATCAAGATAGATCTTCCTTCCAGTAAACAAATACAAACCATCTATGTCGGTGGGGTTCTTGTCTGTGTCCTCCCATATGTTCACAAGGAGTCTACCCAAAATTTGGGGACCCTAACTTGCTTTCTCCCGACATCATGAGAATACCAATAAATCACACAGATTGTCCACAGGTTATCTTTTGCTCTTACCAAGTGATCGGCATCTTTTTTGTTCAGATATTCAATGAGATCTTTATAGATCATGTTTATATACGAAATTTGCAGCCTGTGTATACTCGCCTTGAAATGCTTCAGCCATTACTTTTGAATGGCTTCTCTTTCCCTTTGAGTGATACTCATTTTACTCCTTTGGAGACTGGTATTCCCTGGCAGACTATCATACAAGAACTTCCAACAGAATATTTGTATTTAAGATGGACTTTTGTTTCTAGGAGTACTTTATTCAATTACTAACTTAATATCAATACTTAGTCTTATTCCAGGTGTTTAGAAGTGAAATGTTGTACGATAATTCCTGGTGGATTTGATTTTATTTTTCCAAAAGCTTTTATTTTTCTTTATTCTCTCATGGTTCCTGTTTCCAGTAAGTCAGTTTTGAAGTTAACACAATAAATTTCAAAGCAATTTCTAGTTCTTACATTCTGTTGAGTGCCTAAAGTTTTCTCATTCTATATTTCTCAAAAAATACAAATTTTCTTGCTTGAAAGTATTTCAGTAGGCAGTTTTTTTTCAACTGATAACAGAAAGGTGATTGATTAGGGTGTAGAATGAACCATTTTTATATACAACATTGAAGAAATTTGTTTTGATCAACTATGCATAGTTGTTACAAGAATTTTTTTTCCTTTTTTTTCTCCTAGTGGGTCATGTACTGAGAGGAAGAAAATAGATTTGATTTTTTTTTTAATAGAGTTGGATTCTGATTTTTTTTTCCTCTTTAAAAAATACTACTTGTTATATAGAATGGCTCTTTGGGAATAGGGGAAGGACTGATACTGGGGATAAGAAACAGAAGACATCAGAAAAGCTTATTCTTAAAAAACAAGTGTTGAGCGGTTGCTACAGATGTGAAATGTCGCATACTTTCGGATGAGGACATTGTATTATTAGTTTAGTTAACGATTTTACTTTGTTACAAGAAACCTCTCACAAAGTGGGAGTGATCTATAAATGTAACTGATAACATCACAAAGCCAAAGGACTTTGTGCCTATGAGATTTTAGCATTACTCTTTTAATTGGGTTTTTAAGATATCAGTCTTTAAGTTAAATAGAAAGCTCTAGCAGGATATAAACTATACTGTTTGCATGCTGTAATCCACTGGAACATTAATTAATAATATATTATTCTACAGACATGTATTCAGTGTGACTAATAGTGGTGAAAATGTTGGAACATAACCATTCTGACCTGCCATGCTATCAACTTTGATCACAAAAATGAGTTTTCATTATATCAGTACTCAGTGTTGTTGTCTTAAAACTGTAACTTGTCTTAACAGAGAGTATGAGTATTTATGATGACATTGATGCTGATGTGTTGCAAAACTATCAAGAGTATAGTCTGGCAAATATCATCTACTACACTCTAAAGGAGTCCACCACCAGTGAGCAGAGTGCAAGAATGACAGCTATGGACAATGCTAGCAAGAATGCCTGTAAGAACACTATATTGAGTAAATGCAGTAGCCTAGAAAATGTTATTAAAGATATTATTAAAATTCCATACTTGTAATTTTTGAGTGCTAGCAACATTAAAATTATGTGATGACATGTGACATCTCAGTCTTCTCTATTGCTATTGTTTTGTAATATCCTTATGTACCTTTCTGACTGATTATAAGAAAGAAATTAAATTATGAATATGAAAGTACTTTGGAAAGGTACCATGTAATTGGAAGTTTGTTATTACAAAGGTATGCCTGTTTTGTTTAAGTGGTATTGATATACTTTGGGATGTTTCAAGTAGTCACCCTGAATAAGGACAGAGACTCTATACTTAATCATTTAAGAAGATAACTAGTGCTTTAATACTAGTAACTAGTCCTAGCCCTGTCTTAAGCACCTAATTTTCAGAGTTAATGAATGCTTTGCTGTTTGATTCTTTGTCAAATCGTGTGTGTGTGTGTGTGTGTGTGTGTGTGTGTGTGTGTGTGTCTGTGTGCACACGCATGCGTGCGCGCGTACATACATCTATATAATTTTGTGTGGTGTTTGGTTTTTTGCTTGTTTTTTTAGCTGAGATGATTGATAAGTTGACTTTGACATTTAACCGTACTCGCCAAGCTGTCATCACAAAGGAGTTGATTGAAATTATCTCTGGTGCTGCAGCTCTGTAAGTATTGAGTTTTATATTGGTTTAGTTCCTGCATCCTCTGCTTCTGCTAGTTTTAGTATTTGGGTACAGAAATTTGAAGGTAACAAAAGTTGCTTGATTGTTCTCTGTCCTACTCTGGCATCATAAGAGACCTGGTGAAGATGAATTTTTCTCCAGTGTGTTCTGGCTAACATGACTGAATATTAAGGCTCTAATTCTTTTGTAATTAATGTTACCATTATCAAATTCATAGGAAATTATTGGACTTCGGGAAAATGAGGCTATGGTAAACAGCGCTCCCTTTATGATAAAATAGCAGTGAAAAAAGTGCTGAAAGCTGCCTGTGTAACATTTCTAATACTAGGCATATGTGCCTCATATCAATATGAGTAAGATCATAGGCTGCTTACAGAGGGGCTAACCAGCCCAATTAGGAATGGATCAGGTGAAAACTTATGTGCCAGTCAGCAGTGGGGCTTTGTTTATGAGTAGCCTTTGCACTTCCAGCCTGAGTAAGAAAGCAAAACACACAGCCTTTGAAAAGAAGAAAAGAAAGAAATGAGTGAAAAGAAGAAATACAGGAAGAGTATAGATGGCCCTTTCTAGGAATGTGGCTGTGAAATGAAATAGATACGAAGTAATAGTTTTAAGGGTGTCAGGATCAAGTGAAAATTTTTTTTTAAGGATGGAAGATAGGTGGTCATGCTTGAAGGCTATGGGATAGCACCAATGAATAAAGAAATAGCAGAGGTGAGAAAGCTCAAATGAAAGAGGGAGCATGGCCCTGGATAAAGTGGGGGGGGGGGGATGAGATCAAGATGCCTAAAGAAGAGATTAGCCTTTGTAAGAAGGACCAACCCCTTACAAACTATAAGGGGGAGACTCCTGCAGTCCCACAGGGGAGATGATACACGTGTAGAAAAAAATACAAGGTAAAATTTGATATGTGCTCTTAAGAGACAGGTATCATCACTTCCATAACACTCACACCTACTTAGAGAGAGATGAGAATGCTTCATGAAAGAAGCAGTATCTAAGCTGAACTTTAAAAGTTGTGTAGGATTGCAACTCATGGTGTGGTGGTGAGGTAGGGAAGGGCATCCTAGACTAAAGAAACACCATTACCAAAGGTACGGAGGAAAGTATAGGGCTTAGTCAGTTCTGTGCTTCCATAATACCTAGGATACTTCAGATGAACCTGAAAGTTTCAAAGACTGTTCTAAAAGATAATCACTATCAGTTTCCTGTGCCCCACTCTCTTGCTACCGTGCCTTTTTTCTGTTTCTTATCCATGGCTTCTGATTAGCCATCGTAGCTTCTAAGTCTGTTCTTCATCCCATACAAGCACTTTGCTGCTGCTAAAGGTCTTGATCCCTCAGATATGAGAGTCAGGTGTGAGAAGACCTACAAATAAAATGTTTGTGCTGATGTACCTTTAAAACGTGGATAGCAACATCCAGATAATTAGAAAATGATCTGTGAAGTTAGCAAATTGAACATTTTCTCTTTTGTGAAGTATATCATCTTTATCAATAAAACATGAATAAAATGCAGTATTTATTGATTCTGAGTGCTGCTCATAGGTACAAGGTTTTTATTGGTTGTGTGCTATGCATAGTTTGCATGGAGAAAGCTTATAATTTCTAACCAAAGTGAAATTCATAACATATATGTGTAAATTATTGATAAAGCTGTGTAGGAATGTTTGAATATTTCTTTGATATATTTAACTTTACAGGTAAAGAATTTTGCTTTTTTTGTCTGATGTGAATGGTTGACTTGCATGGAACGCTTCTTGATCTGCTTACTTTGTTTTCTTTTTCTCTAATATAATAACTAGGAACTAACGGATCCAAGTTTTATGCACATTCGAGGTAAAGTGGTGACACTTCACCCACCTTCCAATCCCTCTAATCCCCTGAAAGAAAAAGAATACAAATTTAATTCACCAAACTACAGATATTTTAAAGGCAATGAGAGTGATTTTTATATGTAGATCTAATGTGATATGGCTTTATTTAACTCTAAAGTATAGCCTGATAGAAGACGCCATATGTTTGAGGGCTTTTTTTTTGTCTTTTCTAAAAATAAACTCCCAAAATGTTCTAATCATTGGAAGAAACTAGGTTAGACAATTCGATGAGCCCTTCACTGAAGTCTTACTCCAACTCTCAATGACCTCTTTTGGGGTTTTCTTGGCAAAGATGCTGGAGTGGTTTGCCATTCATTCCCTTCTGTGGCTCATTTTTATAGATGAGGAACTAAATCAAACAGGATTAAGTGACTTGCCCTAAGGGCAAGTCTGAGGCCAGATTTGACCTTGGGAAGATGAGTCTTCCTGACTCCAGACCCAGTAGTCTATCCACTTGGCCACCTAGCTGCCCGACAACAATAGTGTCCTTTAAAAGCACTAGGAGATTTTTATCTTCCAAATTAACATTATTCAATTTATTTTTATTTTTCAGGTAAAGACATGAGATACAAAGCAAGCTAATTAGCCTATTTTTGTCTGTCAGAAGAACTCCATTGTGTACATGGAAGACAAAATATTTGTAAATTATCTTACAATAAACAAATTATGTGAAAACAATGTCTTTTCTATATTGTCTCAAGATAATTAATGATGTAAAATTTAAGCTTTTTTTAAACTTAGTTTATATAGTAGGCTGCTATTGTATAAACAATACTGTATTCAGAGTAGAATGTTATGAAAGGCACCACATTGAGAAGAGTATTTTTAAAAGTGATTTAGCAGTGGTAAGATGAATATGGACTTTCCCCTCTTATTCTTCTGTAATACCAGCCCTGGTTTGTTTGTTTTTTTAATGTTCTCTAGCTTCTAACTTAGTGATCTGAGAATAAAAAGTAATATTTAGTAAGACTGAAATAATCAGAATACATAACCTCCTCCTGAATTCTAATGAGTATCAAAGGCAATGGATGGATGGAGCATTTACTTAGTGCTTGATTTGCACTGGGGATGCAAATAGAAAAGTAAGTCACTGCTCTCAAAGGGCTCATTTTAATGGAGAAGACAACACATATGGAAGGTTCCAGCTACAAAGCCAGTGGAAAGATCCTATCTATCATCCTTTTGAGTTACTTGAAAAACAGATGATAATGTCTCTTTAATGTCATTCCATCTATAAAAATCATACTACTTTCTGATATTGAACGATTTGGCAGTGCCAAAGTCTTTGGTGGCTGTAGCACCTGAAGGAGCAGATGCCAGAATTCGTCTCCACAGGGTTTAGTTTCCAAGATAGTTGTGGGCATTGGTCTTGAAGTATTGGTATTCCCAAGGCTTTGAGGATTGGGGGCTGGCTCCATTAGGGTGAGAGGTGGCAGTCTGACTTAGTTTGCGTATGCTGCCTCCTCTCTCCCCCAGAGTACTTTGCTGCTTTAGCTAGCCTGGTTTAGTGGTAATTGGGGATGACTGGCCCCTTTACCAGAGTTGCTTCCCTAGATGATAGCTAAGAGGGCAGGGAGGGAAGCAGGACTAGTGGTCTAGGTGGGTGCTGCCACTTTCAGAGCTTTTGTGCCTGTCTGCCTATTGGCAGTTGGTTAGCAATCATTGCTAGTGGTGAGGAGGAAATGGTCTACTTCTCCACAGTGGCTGTCCCCTTTGATGGCTAGAAGAACTGGGCTAGAAGCAGGGCTGGTGATTTGAGGTGCCCTGCTATACTCTGAAGGCTCTTGGGCTCAGGCTGCTACACTGTCTCCATCAGGTTCTGAGGGGAGATGTTGGTCAAAATGGTAGAGGTTTGACTTGCCTGGCATATGCTGCCTCATCTCTTCAGGGTGGCACACTGTTTCATATAGGCTGCTTTGCCTGCCCTATGCATCTATTTTGCATTCACCATGACCTTATAAATGCTATTATCATCATTTGATGTTCCTTCTCTATTCCCTCAGTAGTTTAATGTGGCATGACCTCAGCAAACACTAGGAAAATGTATCTGAAATTGAAGAAATATATTTCAATATTTGGGTAGCTCTTAAGGCATATGTATACAAAATGGTAAAAACAATGAGTGCATTCTTAAGCAATCAAAAGCACTTATTAAGAGGACTGTTCAGCTGAAGATACAAAGACAAAAGTGAAAGTCACTGCTCTTAGATTTTTTTTTTTAGGCAATTGGGGTTAAGTGACTTGCCCAGGGTCACACAGCTAGTAAGTGTCAAGTGTTTGGTCTGAGGCTGAGATTTGAACTCAGGTCCTCCTGACTTCAGGGCCAGTGCTCTATCCACTGTACCACCTAGCTGTCCATAGAGTCACTGATTTTAAAGAGCTTATCTATATTCATGAAGGAGATGGCCTGTGAAAATAGGGGAACATAGAAATCAAATTCAAAATAACTAGGAAGGGAAGCCCCCAACCCGAGGAGTGTAGGTGACACTTGAGCTCAGACTTAAGGGAACCCAGGGAACGGATTCTAGGAGGTGGAAATCTGCAAGGAACATTAGAAGTATGGGATATTTTTTGACTTGAGGTAGTATGTCTTTTGAGAAATGTAACTAAAGATTACCAATTTTTTAGACATTGGGACAGAATTTAACTCCTATAGATACATACGATTACTTGTACAATAAATTGGAATAAATTTAAATATATAAATAAATTGGAATAAAAATAAATTGGATTTTCTCGAATCGCCAGCTACCTATTGGACATCCGGAACTGGATATCCTATAGACATCTTAAACTCGACATGTCCAAAAGTAAATTCATTTTTCCCCACAAATTTTCCCATCTTCCTTACTTCCCTGTATTTTGTCAAGGTTTCCAACATCCAGTCACCTAGGCTTAGACAACCTAGATGTCATCCTTGAGTCCTCACCATCACTCCCCCATACAGAATCTTGCCAAGGCCTATCAATTTTACCTTTGTAACAACTCTTGAATATGCTCCTTAACTCTGACAATACCACCTCTCTAGTGCAAGCCTTCATCTCTTCATGCCTGAACTACTACAAAAAGCTGTTGGGCTGATCTCCTTGCCACATTCTACCCATTCCAGTCCACCTTCTGTTCACTTGTCAAAATGATCTTCCTAAAGCATAAGTTTGACCATGTTACTCCCTGCACACGTAGTCTAAACTCCATTGGCTCCCAGTCACTGCCAGGATCAAATACAAAATCCTCTAGTGCTGAAAGTCTTCAAAAACTGCCCCTCTCCACCCACCTTTACAATCTTTGTAAATTTTATCACTACCACTCCCACAAAACATACACTCTGCTATCCAGTAACAATGACCTTATTCTCCAACAAGAAACTGACTCTACAACAGCAACATTGTGTGACAACTAGCTTTGATAGACTTAGTTCTCAGCAATGCAAGGATCTAAGATAACTCCAGAAGACTCATGATGGAAAATGCCCAGTCTTCAGGGAACCAATCAGCATGTTATTCTTCCTCTACTACAGCAGTATCAGAATTATGAGATCCCAGGCCTGCTCTGTCATGGAGAGACCTTAGAAGATAGGAGTCCCAGCTCCCCTCATTAGAATGTAAGCTCTTTAGGTGACAAAAATTGTTTCATTTTGTTGGCTTTGTATCCCCAGTGTGTAACAGTGCCTGACATAGAAGTTTAATGTTTGTTGAATGGACTGGTTGTTCTCAATGTTATCAGGGCAGAGTGCTAGGTCCTGCCCCACCTTTCCCTGATATTGGGTCAGTGTCACTTTAGCAAAAATCCCCCATCCTTTCCTCAAGCTCTCATCTCTATCCTCCTCAGTCCTACCTCTCCACAGTTTATATCTCTGCCTTCCCATTCCATCATACCCCATGGAAGACCTGCCCTGTTAAATTACTCCTTATCCTGGATCTCTTCACTTTACTCTCCATCCTTCTTGTGGCAAATGGAAACCTTGCCCTACCCAGAAGACACCACCTAGTAACAACTAATGTTTATATAATGCTTTAAGGTTCTCCAAGCACTATATATATATATATATATATATATATATATAATGTACACACATACATATATACCTATAAAATTTTACCTCATTTTGATCTGATAATGGATGCTTCTCATGCCTCTTGAAGCACTGAACCAAGAAGCATATTTTTGCTCCTTATTTGCTCCTCATTCCCACTCTCAGATTGTCCTCTTTGCCATCATCACTAATCAACATCCCCTTTGAGATTCACCCCATCCCGCTTTTAGCAAGCAGTTCAAATCCTCGTCTTAGTCATCTGCTAATGTTCAAGTCATTCTCTCATCTCCCTAGGAGTTGAAAATTTAACTCCATCCTCAACCTCTGCCATCTTCTTGGGAACTTCAGTTTACACAGTGAAAACACTGCCATCCAACTTGAACTCCTGTGACCTCCATCTTCATTTCATTCATTCACAGGGATGCTCTTATTCTTGATCTGACCATCCAATAAAACCTTTACTTTCACAGTTTAGAACTCTAAAACGCCTCTCTGACTAGACCTCCTTTCATCTCTCCTCTGCCTCACTCCTGAGTCTGTATCATCCTCACTATGACCTTCAGTCCACTACTCCTAGATGTGCTCCTAGTCCACCACTCCTACTCTGACCTTACTTCTCTCACTCCAGTTTTGACCTGATATTGACCAATTTGAGCATAAAACATAAGGTAGCATTGGATTCCTTGGCCTTTTGTCTTATAACCAGCTGTGCCCTGCCAAATACTTCATTCTGGAGTACTCCAGATTTCTACCTTATCAATATAATAAAGCTGACATGATGCTCCTGGTTTCTCTTACTATGGCTTCTATAGGCAAAAATACAAATTAAAACAAGGTTATTTGTGATGAGGAACAGCCCATGGCTTCTCAGTGAACTGACATACATTTTTCCTATTTCCTTATCTTCTTCCTTTGATCAGTTAGTTTACAAGCATTTATTAAGCACTTACCACTGCCAGGATTGGGGATACCAATAGAAATGAAGAAGTTCTCTGTCCTCAAGAAGCTTACATTTTATTGGGGAAAGACATCACATAAAAGTAAGCTAAAAATGGGAAGGAGGAAGAAAGTACCTGTTGTTGGGGCATGGCATAGAAAGTCTAGTGGAGATGAATTAGCAATACAGCCTAGAGAAGGATTTAATTTAAAGGTTCTGGAGGAACCAGTCAAGTTGAAGGTGAGTTCACACAGGTGGAGAGTATTTCGCATGTAAGAAGTAGTCAGGATGTGGAGGGAGCTTCCAGAATGAAGAGGTTTCCATAGCATGGTAGGGAAAGACCAGTGGAGATGAGTTCAATGCAGCCTGAAGAGGGATAAAGATGACAATGTCTGAGGCCTGCCTGAATGTAACACTATAGTAGATGTAACAGTGTAAAGTGAGATATACCACTAGGCCCTCACTAGGTGGGGAACCTGCAACCTCAAGGCCACATGTGGCCCTGTAGATCCTCCAGTGCAGCCCTTTGAATCCAAACTTCACAGAACAAATCCTTTCATTAAGGGGATTTGTTCTGTGAAGTTTGGATTCAGTCAAAGCACTGGAGCACTTAGAGGGCAACATATGGCCTAGAGTGTGGGGCTTACCAGGCAGGTGTCTGACTCCTTTCCCCAGTGGCCCTAACCCAACCTCCATCTGCCCAGAGCC